CACAACGCCCGGCTATTTTTTGGTTGCAGCCATCATTGTTGTTTGGCGGGCCCGGGCTGGGGATTTGAACCTGCCACCTTAGGTGTATGTAGCTGGTGCCTTAGCCAGTTGAGCTACAGGCGCCGAGCCAGATACTTATTTTCAAAAATGTTCCTACTTGTAACCAAGGAGCTGCTTTCAGGATATGAAATATCTTCTCCTTCTGGGCATCTAGTAATTGGCTCTAATCACTGACCATTGGTGAGCTTAATGGATCAGAGCTTTGATTGCCCTGTGAGTCGTGGCATTGTTCCCCTAATGTTTAAATATACATCATGCTGGGCACAGAGAATAATTAGTGACAGAGTGTGGGTGAATAAACCCGTTAAGTTCATTCCCTATTTTCCACTTGATACAAAACTATGACGTAAGAGCTCATTGGATTATGAATGTGATGGGGGTTTAGGTATAAAATAGGACATCACCATGTTAGCTCTTGATTCAGTTGAACAGTTACCTTCAGAAAGTGGCATGAGGCTTTGAAAAAATCAACTTCTCCCATGACTTCCAACCTGTCTTCTGCTATGAATTAACTTTTTCACAATGAAACATTTACTGGATTATTGATTTTGAAGAACAGTGGGGTTTTGTTGTTGTTGTTGTTGTTTTAGAGATAAGAGTCTCACTTTGTCACACTCAGTAGAGTGCCCTGGCATCACAGCTCATAGCAACCTCTAGCTCTTAGGCTTAGGTGATTCTCTTGCCTCAGCCTCCCAAGTAGCTGGGACTTCAGGCGCCCACCACAACGCCCAGCTATTTTTTTGTTGCATTTTGGCCAGGGCTGGTGCCCTACTCACTGAGCCACAGGCGCCATCCCAAGAACAGTCGTTTTTTTATTTAAATATGGGAAATATTTATTCATCCATATCAATAATTCAAAAATTCATAATAATGAAAAATAATGTGATGTCAATTTTATAACTTTTTAAAAGTTGTTTATATAAAAGGCTGGAAGAAAATAACCAAATTGTTAACAGTATTTATTTCTGAGTGATAGTGTTACAAGTATACTGAATTTTCTCCTCTTAGAAAATAAATTAAATAATTTAATAAAGAAACAAATGAAGGATGAAGCTTATCTTCTTTCTATAATTTCTGAAAAGATAATAGTTTAGAAATCTCAGCATATACATGTCTATTATATGTCTTCTATTATAAATGTTCTAAAATAACCATGGCTTTGGTTTCATTTTCCAGATGGTGGTAGAAAGCGTTAAGCCAGGCGTCATCTCTGTGGTGTACGAACACAGTGGCACAACCTTGGAGAGCCTGCTTTATCTCCTAGAAAAAGCTCTGGATGGGCAGAAGGCACAGAGCATGGGAATATTTAGCGATGGAGATAGCAGGGACATCAATTTACTCCAAGGTAGTACTGGAGGGGATTAGCAATGAACCAAACAACTCTGTGCTTATGCAGGGTTTGCCCCTGTGTGACCTTCAGAGTACAATTTCAGTTCTGATTTGCAAGAAGTATTGATTTTGGAACTTTTATGAAGCAAGAGAAGCAATTTCTTTGAAGATCCTTTTGTAAATGTAATTAAAGAAACACATAACATAAAAGTTACCATCTTACCCATTTTGTAAGTATGCAATTCAATACCGTTAAGGGTGTTCACACTGTGGTCAAACAGACTCTGTAGAAGTTTTTCATTTGGCGAAACTGAAACTCTTTCCCCACATAAAAACAACTTCCTTTCCCCCGACCCCTACTGCGCACAACCCTTGGCAATCACAATTCTGTTTCTATGAATTTGAGTACTAGACACTTTGTGGAAATTCACAGTATTTGTCTTTCTGTGATTGGTTTTCTTCACTTAACATAATGTCCACAAGTTTCATCCGTGTTGCGGTAGGTGACAGAATTTCCTCCCTTTTCCCGGTGACTAATATCAATTGTATTCACATCCACATCTCGTTTATCCACTCACCTGCTCAGAGACACATGGCGGGCTTCCACCTCTTGGCTGCCGTAAACTGTGCTGCTATGAACATGGATGTGCTGCTATGAACATGGATGTGCGAGCATCTCTTTGTCGTCCTGCTTGCCGTCCTTTGGACACAGACCAGTGGTATTCCTGGATCATATGTGACTTCATTTTTTATTCTCTGAGAACCCCCCCACACTGTTTTCCATAGCAGTTATATCATTTCATAGTCCCACCAACAAGGCACAAAGGTTCAGGTTTCTCTGCATCCTCGGCAATCCTTGTTATTGTCTGTTTGCTTGTTTTTTACGAGTAGCCGTTCTAATGCATGTGAGGTATTAAGTTCTTTGTACATTTTTAAAGTTGGATTGTCTGATTTTTTCGTTATTGAATTGTAGGAGTTTATATTTATATTCTGGATGTTAACCTTGAATTCGATATATTATTTGCAAATATTTTCACCCATTCCACAGGTTTCCTTTTCCCTATGTTGATCATGTCCTTTGACGCACGAAAGTTTTAAGTTTGACGAAAGTGAAGCAATTGTAATAGAAAATGCTGAGATCTATAAAGTAGTGAGCTCTGATAGCATTTGTTACACTGCAGAGGGAAAAAAATCGCTGATATCATTTGCCTGTTATTTTTGAAATGATTTCCTTTATGGCAAGGAAGGCGATAATGAAAGGTTTTAGAAGTAAACTTCTAGTTTCTACTTTTCCTTATAACTTGGATCTTTTCTTGGTTATATTTAAAGTAGAATTGTTTTTAATTTTACTAACATGAAATCTTCCATCTGTGTGGGACTACGGAAGGAGGGAACAAGATGGTCCAGGATATAACTGGCAGGAAACCAACAAAAGGGCAAGAGGAGTCCCTGAAGCGTCCATCAAAATGCCGTCTCTGAGTCTAGAACTCAGCTTTCGTGGAAGTTTCCACAAAATTTATATCGGCAAAAATTAATTGCTTTTTTGGTTTAGCTTTACATTGGTTTTAGCTTTCTTTGTTTAGTTTAACTATACCTAGACCAAATTATGCTCCACATAAATTTTAGACATTTCCCTATAGTAGAACACAGATACTATTTGGGGGGGTAAATTTATAATTAATTACCTGGTGATTCTCTAAATGGTAGAGAGGTGTCAGTGGTATGTGGAGTGGCCTATGAGAGTTTCCTGATCTCAGCCGTTGTGTTCTACAGTTAAGAAAGGTTTATAAACTCTGGCTTGCCCCTGCTTTTCCCTCTTTCTTTCTTTCTCTTCTCTCTCTCTCTCTGTCTTTCTCCTCGCTCCCTCTCTCTCCTCCTTCCTTCCCTCCCTCTTTCCTTCCACTTCTTTTTTTTTTTTTTTTTGTCACCCAGGGTGGAGTGGGATGTTACAGTGGTTTACACTGTAGCCTTGAACTCCTGGGCTCAAAGGATCTTCCTGCCTCAGCCTCCTGAGTAGCTGGGACTGTAGGCATATTCCACTATGCCCTACTAATTTTTTTATTTTTCTGTAGACACATGGCCTTGCACAGGCTGGTCTTGAACTCCTAGCCTCAAGCGATCCTCCTACCTTGGCCACCCAAAGTGCTGGGATTACAGTGTGAGCCACTGTCCCTAGCCCCTTTCTTTAAAAAATTAATAATAACAATAACAAAATACCACCAAAGAAAACCTACTTTTCTTGTAAATAACTAGTGGTTTGCCAACAGTTTTTTCTTTAAACACGATATCCAAACAAATTTCTTACCCCATCACATGACGAGATTTTTCCATGGTGAAGGTAGACCTGTGGATGGAATGCAGTCAGAAGGCAGAGTTCTTGTGCCCGACTTTGTTTTCATTTCATTCCTGGGGCGCAGAGGGGCAGAGCATCTAGGACTCCTCTGGAAATAGGTCCAGACCCGGACTGCTTAGTGGAGTTATCACACTGAATTCCTAGGAAGTGAGGGGAAAGGAGAGTTCAGCCGTGTTCACCATCTCTGGGAGCCTTATTTCTGCTCTGAACTACTTGTTTTTTGACTGATGATGGTGGGAAACATTTCTACTTTGGAACTTGGTTCCAAAATCCAAGGACTTCACTAGCCATCCACCCCAAACCCTACGGATCCTGGTAATTCACATCACTGCACAGCAGAGGCAGAAATGCAGTGTCCTAAACGTAGCTGCATAGTGTCCAGGTAATCCAGCTCGTGAAGGGGACCGTGGTCATAGTGTGGCCCTGACATGGTACAGGGTGACGCAGAGGTGCCTTAGAGCTCTTGGTCTTACAGGCCGATGTTGCCTTTTTGAATTTGTGGTTGCATTTTCACAAATGGCTAATAGTTTCCATTTTGATAATATGACAAACTAATATGACATTTTAATATTTTTCCCCTCAGGCTATAAAATTGGTATTAAAAATTTGCTGAGGCCTGAAGTGAGAAACTTCTGGGAGAAATTAGGAAGCTTTGTGGCTACTGAAGAGGAAGGGGGTCATGTGGACATCTTTGTGCCCCTTGGAGCATCAGGTCAGCTTGAAGCACACTTTACGGTGACATGCTGTGAATTTGTGACACGCCTCCAAGTCCCATGACTCAGTCACATATTACTCTTTATTTTTTCTGTCCTCATATCTCACACAGCCCGATATTCTGGGGAAGTCAGGGTTAGGGATGGTGTTTAGAGTAACCTATCTCTGCAGAGATAAAGTCACTAATGGCAACACTCAGCGGCATTATTTATATTTAGTCTGGAAAACACAATAAAATCAGCCTCCATAATAGAGGGGAAGGTGCCTGACCAGCATAGGAACCACGATCACTCAATCTGAGAAAAACCCCCAGGCTGAGTTCTGAACCTGGAGAGACTATGAATTTGGTGACCACCAAGGACCTGGGCCTGAGTCAACCTGTGCCACTTCTCAGCTGCTGTCCTTAGGCAAGCTTGTGGAACTCCATATCCTCATAGGGAAGCTAGGATAATAGCAGCTTACCTTACTTTAAGGACTTGTGAATATCAAGATAATGTAAATATTTAAGTAATAAAAAGAAATAATACTGGAAACACTTCAGGTAATATTAGAAACAGTGCTTTGTTTGGGGGGGTTTTTTGAGACAGAGTCTCACCATGTTGCTCTGGGTAGAGTGCTGTTGCATCACAGCTCACAGCAACCTCAAACTCTTGTGCTTAAGTGATTCTCTTGTTTCAGCCTCCCAAGTAGCTGGGACTACAGGCTTCTGCCACAATGTCCGGCTATTTTTTGTTGCAGTTGTTGTTGTTAGGCTGGCCTGGGCTGGGTTCAAACTTGCCACCCTTGGTGTATGTGGCTGGCACCATAACCACTGTGCTATGGGTGCCAAGCTCAGTGAAGTGTTTTGTAAAGATGAGTATGATTGACAATCACTGAGGTTGTTGTGATTTCACGTCAAGTGTCTGCCCGTGATTCAAAGTGGATTTCAGTGCTGGAAGAGAAACTTCAGAAACATTAAGTCAAATTTAGTCTTTGGGTATCTGTTAAATAAAATCTCTGCATTCGTGGGCTATGTTGTTTTCCCAAGCAGAGCAGGGGAGAAGGAGTGTGAAATTAAATTATTCATTCCTAGGGAATTGTGAGTTTTAAAGTTCTTGCTAATTCTCAAGTTTCACAGGTCTGGTCAGCATATGTGAAGCACGTCCCTGGCAGCCTTCACCAGGGAAAAGGAAAAATAAAAAGGATGGGAAGGAGTTTAAAGGAACCAAAATATAAAATATTACAAAAAATATTTTGTAAAATAATTTTACAGTTATTCTAATGATATTATATACGTGTATAAATGTGCAGTGTATACATACACATATGTGTCATCTCAGCTATGTGGAAAATGTGCATAGAAGAATCTGGAAGGAAATGTACCAAAATATTTAAAAAGACTTATTTTTACAATTTTTTTAACTTTTGAAATCAGGTTGAAAAGACTAGGTTACTAAGACTATGGATGTGTGATCCACTGTTAAAAACACGTATGTGTGCAGCGGCATATACATGTGTAGAAAAGGGTTCGGAAGGATGTATACCAAGGGCTTAACACTAGTTGGATAGGATGATGAGTTTTCATTTCTCTTTTCTTTCTCTTTAAAAATTTCCTTTTGTGGGTTGGCTCCTGTAGCACAGCGGTTACAGCACCAGCCACATACACCAAGGGTGGCAGGTTTGAACCTGGGCCAGCTAAACAACTGCAACAACAAAAAATACACAGGTGTTGTGGCAGCAACTGTAGTCCCAGCTACTTGGGAGGCTGAGGCAAGAGAATTGCCTAAGCCCAAGAGTTTGAGGTTGCTGTGAGCTGTGATGCTATGGCATCTACCGAGGGTGACATAGTGAGACTCTGTCTCAAAAAAAAGAAAAAGAAATTTCTTTTTGTTTGCCTCTATTTTCTGTAATGAACTAATATTACTTTTATAATGAGAGCAAAGCAACTTTTTAAAGTGGAATAGAAGAGAATATGAGAAAGTAAAGTATTGAAAGGCAGGATAAGAGCAAAGGGGAAAAGCACAGTGGATTTGGTGACATACAAATTACATCATGTGAAACATAATGGCAGCCCCCCCAATAGATTTCCTACCACCATCATGAGCCCCAACACTATCCCTAAAATTCTCATCAAATGTAATATCCACCTGGATGAATCATCCAAGACACTCAACTTCTCAGTCTAAGTCTCTGTCTCTCTCTCTCTCTCTTTTTTTTTTTTAGAGACAGAGTGTCACTTTATTGCCTTTGGTAGAGTGCTGTGGTGTCACAGCTCACAGCAACCTCCAACTCCTGGGCTTAGGCGATTCTCTTGCCTTAGCCTTCCAAGTAGCTGGGACTATAGGCGCCCGCCATAATGCCTGGCTATTTTTGTGTTGCAGTTTGGCTGGGCTGGGTTCCAACCCACCACCCTTGGTATATGGGGCCGGCACCCTACCCACTGAGCCACAGGTGCTGCCTTAAATCTCTGTCTCTTTTTCTACCACCTCAGCACTGGTCTTGTGCTGGTCAGCTGTATCACCCCTGAAATCTTGATCTCAAGCATTTGTCTCTGAGCACCTCTTCCAAATCATGTACTCAAATATCCCCCCTCAAACAATTCTTTGCCTAAGACCTCCAGTCTACACACTTCCACTTTCCAGTCCCTCTCACTGTGCCTTCACCCCCTTGCTTCCTTCCTTGTTAAACTTGGACTTAATAGTCCGACATTATCATCACTCCTTTGCGAAGAATTTGAACTTCCTTGTCTCTTTCACCTGGCCAATTCCAACTCATTTGGCTAAACCCCAAGGCTGGTTGAAGCATAGTTCTCTGCACACCTATTCCTGCCTTCAGCAGAGCAGCTGAAGACTGCTGGAGAAAGTCACACAGCTATGTTGATTGGTCTAACTTTACTTTGATGATGCAGTCCTCAAATGAGATTGCAACTCCAATGAGCAAGCCTTCCACATTTCCTTGTTAAATTCTTTGAGGTGACAATTTTATCTCTTCTCTTTAGCCAATCTTTCAATAACCCAGTTTCTCAGCTCTTGACCTTATCTTTTACTTCCCTGAGAAAATTGAGTCAGATGATAACTCCCTGATTCTCCCCCACCCTCAAATCCACCACTGTTCCCACCTCATACTCGTCATTCTCTGTCCTCCCTTCTGTTCTGATGGATGAAGCATCTCGGCTCAGACAAGACCAGCTCCCCACGTGGACTCTGTCCCTCCACCGTCCCCTCCTCAGGACTTCACTCCTGCACGCCAGTGCTCGCCCGGGGTCTCCTTCCCTTCTCTTTATTGGATCATTCCCATCAAATCAGGAGCACCTGTAGTATCTCCTGCCCTAAAAAAAAAAAGACAATAAGCTTTCCCTCACCCCTCTTTAAATTGATAGACAGGTGGTTCTCTAACTTTAGTGGGCATTTGAATCATCTTCAGGCCTATTATAATACAAATTGCCAGACCTCCCCCGCCTTGAGTTTCAGACTCAGGTGTAGGCTGGGGCTGGAGAATTTTCATTCCTAACCAGTTCGCAGGTGGTGGTGATGCTGCTGGTTCATGGCCACGCTCTGGACACACTGGTCTATACTCACTGCCTCTTCCCCCTCATCTCTCACCCTCTCAAGCTCTTTTTCTCATCTCCACTGAAACTGCTTTTGGAAGACTAAATGACTTCCATATCATCAAGTCCACTGGTCCCTGCTCCAGCCTCACCTTGCTTTGATTTCTTAAAAGCATCTGAGACGATGAACACCTTGTACCGCTCCTCCTCTTTGTGTCCCCTCTCCTTGCTTCCTCCCACCTCAGTGTCCCCTTCTCAGTCTCCTTTGCAGGCTCCTCTTTCTCTCCAAGACCCTTAGACCCTGTGCCCCAGGACCTGATCCTAGATTCTCTCCTTTTCCACATACAAGGTCTGACAATTAAGTTTGCACACTTGCCACTGTGCGCTTATGTTGGCAGCACTATACCAACAACTCGGGAAGGTTCCATAACCTTGGTATATGTGTCTCACAACTGTGTCTGTGTCAATGTGTGAGTGGTGCACAATGTTGGCATGTTTCTGTGCCATATAACAGCAGCTCTGATGGCCATTCCAGAAAAAGAGATCCAAAATTGCTTTGAAAAGGTGGAGGAGAGTGAGGCTTGGAGGACAAGCCTTCATCTCAGTTCCTCTGCCCAAAAAAACAAACAAAAAAAATTGCTTGGAAGGGTGGACTAGGTGCTGGTGTCAGTGTCTTGCTTCCCAGGGGGACTTTGAAGGTGACTGTGTAGTGAACGAGCCACGAGGTATGGAGCACTTTCCTAGGATGAGTTCTTGACCTAATTGCCTGATCTCATGTGTGTGTGTGTGTGTGTGCGTGTGTGTGTGTGTATGTGTGTATATATTTATATGTTCTCTTCCTGGGCGCTCTCATCTAAATTCCATCTAAATGCTAAAGACGCCCCCAATTTATGTCTCCAGCTCTGAATTCTCTGAGCTGCAGGCTCATATCTAATTCCCACTTGACATCTTCTATGGATGTTTAATTTGCACGTCTCATCGATATCTCAAAGTTAACACACCCCAAACAAACTCTTGATTACCTGCCTAGCACTAAAACAACTCTTTCCCCAGATTCCTCAGTAAAAACATCATCATTCACCAGTCACTGCACAAGCCCAAAATTTAAGGCTCATCTTTTGGGGGGCATTATTTTAAAAATTTTAAACCAATTTATTTGGGTATAATTAAAATATAATTGGCGTGCATACAGTGTGCAAATGGATAAATACTGACATACATATACCTACGCTAAGAAACCATAAAATAATCAAGAAAATGAACACCTTCGTTACCCCCAAAGTTCCCTCCCGCCACTCCGTAGTACCTCTCTCCTGCTTCTCCCCATCCCCAACCTGAGGCAACCACTGGCCTCCTCCCCCTCACATGATCCATTTGCATCTTCCGTAGCTTCTAGGAGGGAGTCGTACAATATGTCCTCTTTGTTGTCAGCCTTCTCTCACTCTGAGTCCTTAGTTTAGATTCTTCCATTTGATGCATGTATCAACGTTTCCTTCCTCTTGACAGCTGAGAGTTATTACATCGTACAGACGCACCACAAATTGTTTACTCATTCATCTGTTAACAGATTTTTGAGTTCTTTCTGGTTTCTGCTGTTACAAATAAAACAGCTATGAACATGTGTGTGAGCATACACTTTCGTTTCTCTTACTTCAATACCTAAGAGTAGAATGGTGAGGTCATATGATGGGTATATATGTTTAACTTGTAAAAAATCAGCTAAACTGTTTTCCAAAATGGTTGTACCATTTGACATTTCTACTAGAAGCATCTGAGAACTCCATCTGGCTAGCACTCCAACACATGGTATGATCCATCTTCTTAATTTTAGCCATTCAAAGGGGTAGCTCATTGTGGCATTAATTTGCATTTTTCTAATGACTAATGATGCTCAGCATCTTCTCGTGTGCTTGTTTGTCATTCATACATCTTCCATGGTGAAATGTCTGTCTTAATCTTTTGCTCATTTTAAAAACTAGGTTATATTCTTATTAAGTTTTGAGAGCTCTTTGTACATTCTGGATAAGTGACTTGCAAATGTTTTCTCCAATCTGTGACTTATATTTTCCTTCTCTGAACAATTTCTTTTGAAGAGAAGTTCTTAATTTTGATGAAATCAAATATATGAAGATTTTGTTGTATAGATCACGTTTTTGGTGTCATAGCTAAAAACTCTTCTAGCGCTGGACGCGGTGGCTTATGCCTGTAATCCTAGCACTCTGGGAGGCAAGGTGGATATATGGCCTGAGCTCAAGAGTTTGAGACCAGCCTGAGTAGAAGCAAGACCCCTCTACTAAAGATAGAAAAACTAGCCTGGTATTGTGGTGGGCGCCTGTAGTCTTAGCTATTCGGGAGGCTGAAGCAAGGGAATCGCTTGAGTTTGAAGTTGCTGTGAGGTAGGATGCCACAGCACTCTACCCAGAGCACAGAGTGAGACACTACCCCTCACCCCCAAATAAAAACTCTCTACCTAGCCAAAGATCACAAAGATTGTCTAAATTAGTTATAGTTTCAAGTTCGACATCTAGATTTGTGATCCATTTGATTCATTTCTTTTTAGAACATGAGGTGTGGATTAAGTTAACATTTTTTTTAACATGGATATCTAATTATCCTATCACTATATTGTAACTACTATCCTTTTGTCAATGAATTTCATTTGTACCTTTGTTCAAAGAAATTGAATATGTACATGCAGGCTCATTTGTGGACTCTGTTTTATTTCATTGCTCTATTTGTCAATAAAAATATTAGATGCCAGTGAGAAACATTCCAACCTTTCAGCTACTGTCATCTTGTTTCCAGGAGTAATTATTTATTCTTGGACTACACACAATTAAATTATCCATTATATTAGTTTCATTCCAAGTAATTCAATCTGTATGCTGAATTCAATAATTCAATTTATATGTTGTGTCTCTGAAGAAAGGGCAAAATTAATGCCCCACTCAAATCTAACCATCACATTCCATCCTGTATTTAACTGTTTTAAATCTGTCCTCTTACAATGAGATGTTTCCTTTGAGTCAGAAACATATTAGAAAATATATGTAGATTTTTCTCTGTCTTTGGGCTGAGGATCCAGATTTGAAAATAAGCTCTAGGTCAAACTTTATGCCATCTTTCTCAACTCTATTGCTTAACTGTCATGATTAAGTGCTCAGCTTTAGTATTTAGGGGTGAACTATAAAGTGTTTTTGGACTGTTCACTGGAGGGGTTTGAATGGAGTATGAGAACTCCTAGGGCCTTTCTCAGCCAGTGTAGTGCTCCTGAATCTTACTTACTTGTTTCATGGCAAAACCTGTGAGTAAACTAATGAAAGTGTTTTACTATGCAGAGGCAGGAATGGAAGTTCTTTCTCAGCTGACTCAGCTAACTGGCACATTCTTTACCGCCCCCACTGGGATTGCAACTGGCTCTTACCAACACAGTAAGTGTATAATGGGAGCTGACCACCAAACCCAATAATATACATCATCTCCAGGATTGCCAGAAGACAAAGTACAGTTAATAGTACTGTATGGCTGGGTGTGGTGGCTCGTGCCTGTAATCCTAGTTCTGGGAGACCAAGGCAGGTGGATTGCTTAAGCTCAGGAGTTTGAGACCAGCATGAAGAGTGGGACTCTGTCTCAATTAAAAATAGAAAAACAAGCCGAGCATTGTGGTGGGTGCCTATAGTCCCAGCTACTTGGGAGGCCGAGGCAAGAGGATTGCTATGATGATGCCATGGCACTCTAACTAATCTGGGTGACAGAGTGAGACCTTGTCTAAAAAAAAAAACGCACTGTATGGTCAATGTCAATGACTATCTTTAATTCCTTCCCTGAAGAAGGAATACTGTTACCTCCCAAACTAGGTAATCTCATGCCACTCAGTAATTTGCTTAGAATGGGATTATTTGTTGCAAATAGTTTGCCTCAAATCATCATTTGTGAAACTATTGAGAATGGTTTGGCGAGGTTCTATTTCTGTAGCGTTATCTGAGAAGATGAGAATACACCTGAAAGCAAACTTTAATGTAGATATTAATCAAAGCATAAATCAAAATGTAACATTGGCTGGCCAAGAAGAGAACCAAATTGCTTTGTTACAGTAATGCCAATCACTCCCGTTTAAAACACCCTGGATTCCTCTCAGGCAGGGCTTGGAGCGATGTAGAAACTACACAAAGCACGACTTCTCTACTCTCAAAGGCCAAGGGCCTTTCAGGACTGGGGAGAGCTGGCATGGCTGGGAACTTGTAAGGGAAGAGATTCTATGTAGATGTAACAAAAGCACATTGACCTAATCCAGTTTTGGAGCAAATGCCACTGGTTAATTTTAGTCAATACAGCAACATCACCAAACGACAGCATATTTGGCCCTGCAGAGAGAAGAATTGGCCTAAAAGAGCACAACAGGTGTCACTCATACAAAATAGATTTTCTGCCTTTTCTCCTCCACTGCCCCCCCTTCCTGCTGCTCACCCTCTTTCCCCTCCTTTTTCTCATTCTCCTTATAAAAGAAAATGTTGTAAATCTTCTCACACGTCTGTCAATAAGCATAGAGGAAACAGCACTCAGGACAGAAAATCAAATTTAACAAGCCATTGCTTTTCAAGGAGAGAAACTTTCTTAAGTACCTGCTAGGGTCACATAGAGATATTTGCAGAGAGAGGTGGCAGTTTGACATAGTGTAAGAAGGACATGGGTTACAGTGGAGCTGACCTTCAATGGCCTGATGGGGAAACCAGGAGGTGTGGGATTCTCTTATATTTTCACTTTTAGACTGGAAAGATGAAGCACTATACTCTTACTTAGGAGACTTTTCTGCTTCCTGATGCAAAAATCAGAAGCTATTTAATTTTTTTTACTTCAAATAGAATATGTCCTTTGTCTAGCAAAGAGCAGATAGGCATTGGAAATGATTTGTTGAGTTTCTAAATTTACCTCTGGAAACAGACTTTGGGTGTTTATTGGTCTTCTAATGAGAAAGGGGAATAGTAAACCTGACAGAAATACAACCAAGTGTTTGTTGTACTTGAAACATGAAGTAGAATTTTGTCATCTAAGTTCAAGTCTGCAAGAATAAAAGGAGAAAATAATGTCAGTTCTCAGTGACTGGCTGGGACCCCCGTGGGGAAGGGCACCCCCTTCTCTCTACTTCACCCAGCCGAAGCTGCAGACGTGGTCCAGCCTCACGGACTTTCTGGAAGACACCTTGCGATCGGTAAGGAAACAGCTTCGTCCTCTCTTCAAGGAGCTGCGGGAGAGCATCAGCGGCAGGGTGATAGGTGAGAACTCTCGCTGCTTCAGTCTCAGGTTGGGCAAGGCTGAGGAATGGTGCAAGTGCATTCCAACTCTTAAACATCATCAATAAAACTTTATCCCCTATGTTTTTCACATTGCCTTTCAAATATAATGAATACCCACTAAGAACAAATATATTCATGCTAAAAATGCTGAAGCTAGTTCCTATTTTAAAATTTCACCATCTTAAAAAATAAAATAAAATTTCACCATCTTATTAATCCCTATTTATGTCCTAGACAAAATTTGTGTTTGCTAAGCCAGAAAGCTGTGTCCTTTTCCAGTTGAATTTGCACGAGAAGTTGAGTACCTCTTAGACCACAGCACCTGTTACCTAAGTTGTTCTGTAATTTAAGTTCTATTTATTTTGTATCTAAAATATGTTATTTGGTGATGGGCTCCATGGGCCTTTGCTGAGGCTATGGGACATCACTGAATTTATTTCCCGCCTCATGCTCCATACCCATGATACAATCAATGGTCAACTTTGCATCTTCACCTAAATTAGTATGTTTTTATTTATTTTTATTTATTATTATTTTTTTGAGACAGAGTCTCACCACATCACCCTTAGTAGAATGCCTTGGCATCATGGCTCACAGCAACCTCAAACTCTTGGGCTTAAGCAATTCTCTTGCCTCAGCATCCCAAGTAGCTGAGACTACAGGCGCCCCCACCACAATGCCCGGCTACTTTTTTTTGAGACAGAGCCTTAAGCTGTCACCCTGGCTAGAGTGCTGTGGCATCAGAGCTCACAGCACCCTCCAACTCCTAGGCTTAAGCAATTCTCTTGCCTCAGACTATCAAGTAGCTGGGACTACAGGTGCCTGCTGCAACACCCAGCTATTTTTGGTTGTAGTTGTCATTGTTGTTCGGCAGGCCTGGGCTGGATTCGAACCCACCAGCTCTGGTGTATGTGGCTGGTGCCCTAGCTGCTGAGCTACAGGCACCGAGCCAATTAGTCTATTTTTAAAAATGAAATATTTTTGTCCATCTGGGTAGAGACAGGTTTTTTCTCACCTGTAACTACCTATTCCATTTTTTACTAATGCTTTCCAGCCAACTAAAATGCCATTTATAATGCAAGTCATTCTTTATCTATGCTTTGCTTTTCATCCTCAGCTCAACTCCTTATTTAAGGTCAGTTTACATAGTTACTGACAATACAATACCTGTGCATACAGATATTTTATCTTTCCATATATATCCTGTATTTCTTTACATAAACACCTCCCAAACAGTGATCTGTCTTCTTGTGTTTTTGTATGACACATTGCACCACATTTAGGAAGGACTCAGCCAATCCTTCCTATAGTGATCTGTCTTCTTGTGTTTTTGTATGACACATTGCATTTAGGAAGGACTCAACCAATCCTTCCTATAGTTTTGAAGCTATAAATAGGGAGAAATTAATTCTCTCTGTTCATTCACAGATACACGCATTAAGGACTAGAAAGAAAAGCAGAGATATGTAGGCAATGAGCAGTCAAGGGGGAAATTGTTTTCAAATAATTCCATGCTGTTCAAAGTGTTTAAAAAATTACAAGATGTCTGTGTATGTTTGTGTATTATTCTCTATGAATTTAAAATGCAAAGGGTGCCCAGAAAATGTATACACATTTAAAGAGATCTTGTTGGAAGGAAAGTTGATCGTTTCCAAAATGCGTGTGAATTGCAGGTAAAATGGATGTGTGTAGCAGGTCTAGGTGCACTTGACCAGTCACGAGACCTTCAATTCTACTTCGAAAAGTAATACATAGATAACATTTCTTAAAATGTATATACATTTTTTGGGCATGCTCTGTATTTATGTATTTCAGCCCAAAGATAAAGGGAACGTAGAAGAATTTTTGGTAGAATCGAAAGTCTAACATTTAAAATTTTAGGGTTGTCTGGGCATGGTGGCTCATTCCTGTAATCCTAGCATTCTGGGAGGCTGAGGGTGGATTGCTCGAGCTTAGGAATTTGAGACCAGCCTAAGCAAGAGCAAGACCCCATTCCTACTAAAAATAGAAAAACTAGCAGGGCATTATGGCTGGCACCTGTAGTCCCAGCTAGTTGGTATGCTGAGGCAAGAGGCTTGCTCGAGCCCAGGAATTTGAGGTTGCTGTGAGCTACAAATGATGCCATGGCACTCTACCCAGGGCCTGGAGTGAGACTGTCTCAAAAAAACAAAAACAAAAACAAATAACGCTTAAACTTGTCCGGTTATTTTTCATGTGTTCTCTCCTTATTGTCCAATTTAGAGATTTCATGTCAATATCAACTTTGCCAGGGAGGGTACTGCACATTTAAATTGCTTTGGCTCACTTTATATTTCAGCATAATAGACATCCTCATAGTGTAAGACATTTTTACGTCTATTTTTTGCATTTTTTTTACACTGAAAAGCAAGTGTGAGGAGAGAGTTGCTTTCCTTTTGAGTGCGTCACTTATATAAACTAACGACAGGGCACATGGCCTTCTATCCACAGGGCAGTTTGTGTTTGACACCATGAGTATGGCCCACATTCTGAATAACCGAGAAATTGTACAAGCTCTGGCAGATGGTCTGATGGAGCTGTCCACAGAAGATTCTGTAAGTGATTCTTTGATGAAAGAAGAATATAAACCCCCAACATTTAAATAACTTCTTAGTTTGTCTTTATCCTTTTTTTTTTTTTAACTAGTTTATCCCTTTCAGAATGCAATTCTCAGAGAAATGACATCAGTGTACAAAAACAGCCACTGGGGGATTCTGGGCCCAAGAGGTACCAGGGGCACAAACCAGACGTGACATAGTAGGGCAGTCTCGTCAGGTCTGTTACATCGTGCACCTTTATCTGCCTCTCCTTCATGTCAGTCAGTAGTGACTTCTTTAAAAAATGTGTTCGTGGTTTTATATTTCACATGAACAGTACTCACCAGTGAAACCAATTACTACTCGTATGAGGAAAGCGTGAGCTCAGGTGTAATAAGATGAAGGGAAAGGGGCCAGATGACTGAAGGAGAAAGGGACGAAAGAACAGAACGAAGCAAATCAGGAGTTGGGTTGGGGACGGGGTGGGAGTGGGGAAGCCTGAAGCAGCATTTCCATCAGAAATGAATCCCGGATACTCTCCCAGAAAAGTTATGGACGTTCCAGAAAACAGTGAGGAGAGGCCAGCCTCCAGACGCAAGGGGAGAGGAAAGTGGGGACGGGGGCCTAGGTTGGGAATCGGGATGATGTGAACATGCTGGAGACATAAGGCCTTCAGTTTCCCCAGGAAAGCTTCTCACAGCCTTCTCTACTTTGTGGGTCCACTCACCACACCTCCACTCTCGGGCTCGCTCCTGGTTATCGTGGATCTGCTCTGATGGCAACTTGGCTCCCCAGGTCAGCACCAGCAGCTTCTCCTCCGAAACTCAGCTCAGCAGACTGGCCAAGGCTCAGGCAGCCCAAGTGAGGAAAGGCCTGGGCGAGCTTTGCTGAGAGAGTGAGCAGGGATGTTCCCAGAGGTGACCCTACACGGCTCCTAAACACCAAAGAATGACTGAACATATTTGGTGTAGGCTCAGTGTACTTCTTCTCACCTCATTGTTGAAAAGTAACCATGTATAACATGATTTTGATAGTGCTCAAATCTATAACCTGAGAGGGAGCCGAATCGGAGAACCTCAGGTGTTTCCCATCAGTTAGGACGCTGTCGCCTCTCCTTAGCCTTCTTTCCCTGGAAAACAAGGCCCTTCTTGTCCCCTTTCCTCAACTGGCTGAGAGGGAGGTGTGGACCACTTTGATCTAAAGATCTTAAGAGACTCTCTGATAAGACTTTGGGATCCTAACTGGACTGGAACGAAAAGTTGAAACCTAGAGCAATTGGAATATAAGACTAACTAGAAAAGTCCCGTTTACTAACTAACTGAGTCACAGTCACTTTGTTTTCTGGACACGTAAATTAAGTAGGTAAAAAGCTGAAAGCACTACTCAAAATGTGTTATCTTTTCTGCTGCACTTTCGATGAACTGTATTTCAGATGAAAGTCTTAAATAGGAATTTTGGGGGGTATATTTTTTAGGAAAGACCTCTGGAATTTTTGTCATATTTTCTGCTGAAGAAATGTGATAAAAAGAGCAAAGGTTTGGAAGGAAATGTTATTCCGACAAAATGTGAACCAAAGGCAACATTCAATCTATTCACGAAGGTAAAGTTGCTGCTGTATTTTTATGCCTGTGTTTTACTGTAGAATTAGGCAGATATGGTGAAGAAATTTATAAACAATAATGTTAGTATTCACCGAAAAAGCTTTCAACTTGTTATTTCTTCTAAGAACTTCATTTTCATGAACTATTATAGAAAAGGTTGTGTTGTAGTTTCATAATGTGGGTACCATTTAAGCCATGTAAAAGCATGAACTGTACCATGCTGGTGTGAAGAACACTATTTGGTTGTGGGGGAAGAATTAGAAATTTGCATTTTGCTTTGCTACTTAGTTGAGTCTTAAGATGTGTGTGTGTGTGTGAGAGAGAGAGAGAGAGAGAGAGAAACTAAGAATAGCTCTTTTTTTTTTTTTTTTTTTGGTGACTGGGGCTGGGTTTGAACCCGCCACCTCCCGTATATGGAGCCAGCACACTACTCCTTGAGCCACAGGCACCGCCTTAAGAATGGCTCTTTTTTATTTGGCATTCAAATTCACAAAGGAAAAAAAGTAGGGTTGAAGCTAGTTTTTTAGATAAAAAAGAATAATTTTGCTATTACTATATTCAGAATCCATGCATTCTTGGTTACCTGAAATAAACAGGATTCAGGAAATGCTGGGAACTGTATCGCTATTCAGAGGGCTAATTTCTATGTATAGGGAAAATGTCATTTTAGAAGCACTTTATGTTCATAGACAAGTCACCTTTGATGTTTGAAGTTGTGAAATGCCAGTTCCTGACACCAACTCACCATGAAGACTGTTGGCAGGGGTGCACTTGCTGGTTCCCCTTGCTGATGAACCCCCCTAGCAGATGAACCGTTGGCTGCCTTATTAACCTGACAGTTTGGGGGTCTTATTCAGGCTCCTGTGAAGGACAATACAGGGCAGGACAAGGGCAGACACAGGCTGCTGGTGGCAGTGACCCTTCTGTCAAGATTCCCCTAACACTCTCAGCAACATAAAAGTCCTGTTCTTCAGAACTGCTCTTTGTTGTTTTTTTCGGAGACAGGGTCTTGCTCTTTTGCTCAGGCTGGAGTGCAGTGGCCTCATCATAACTACAACCTCAAGCTCATGAGCTCAAGTGATGCTCCTGCCTCAGCCTCCTGAGTAGCTGGGACTGCTGGCACCATCCTGGCTAATGTTTTTTCCATTTGTGGAGATGGGGTCTCGCTATGTTGCCCCAGCTGGTCTCAAACTTCTGGCCTTAAGCAATACTCCACCTTGGCCTCCCAGAGTGCTGGTATTATAGGTGTTCACCATTGCACACACCTAGGCCCACCATTCTGCTGTACCACAGCACGACCTTTAGTCTAATTCTTTCCAACCACAGACATATCCCCGAGAGGGCCCTTAAAAAAGACCTTTCTGGGGTGCCTCAGCCCTTTCTAGAGTAGAACCCTTCTTCCTGCTGCCCCATCCTGAAATTTATCTTTAGTCCCGATTTAATTCTTCCCAGAAATTCTCACAGGCCTCTTCTCAGGGAGGGGGTGGTCCTCCGCCTTTCAGTTCAGTTCCCTCGGTGCTGGCAGGAGCTGACCCGGTGCCGGGCACTGTGCTCAACCCTGAGGGGAGGCCCAGAGTCCGTCCCCGTCTTCGTTATAGATGAGACCTGCACGGAAACGGATGGCAGGGTGTGAGGAGTTTCTGTCCGCAGAATACACAGGCAGGGTAGGGACGCTGGGGTGGGAGTTTAATCCCGATTCCTTCCCTTTTCCGTTCCTCAGATGCTGCTGCTTTTATGGTAGCTGCCATTTTTGTTTTTTTGAGTTTCTCCAGGATTATTCTCCCACCGAGTAGATTTAGTCTCCATCCATCCTTTAGCTCATGAAAGCCTTTGAAAAATAGCACCCGGGCCTCAATATCACTCTTTTCTCCCTGGTTCAGCAAAGGGAAGGATCAGCCTGGAACCACGTTACACAGGTTCCAAATTCTTCCAGAGTCTTTCTCAACATCAGCTGAGTCCTGCCTCCCTGGAAACCTCACTGGAGATTTTTCCTCCACATTTATTCTAAATCTGTCACCCCAAGCCCCGGACATATAGACCCCAGAAATGCCCCTCTTTGGAGCAGCTTGAAAAAGCAGTAAGGGCAGAAGTATAGATGGTTCCTCCTCTGAAGCATCACAGGTACATTGGAAACGTTGAACTTGGAGAGAACCATTTCTGAGACTTTGGTGCCTAAGGGAAACGGTCACTTGGAGAAGTTCCTCTCGGTCACTTTCACTCTTAGACTTTCTTAGATTTCCTCTGCCAAATAAAATTCACACCGAATCAAATCTTTTCAACCTGCTGCTGACTTAAACATCTAATCATGCTAATAACATAATGCATGAAATTTGGGCTTAAAATTGCCTCATTGTTGGAAATCGGGCCTGCTATTTTTACATTGTCTGCCTGGAGAAATGCAAAACTCGTCAATGCCTAGAAATTGCTTTGATTTTTTTTTTTTTTAAATCAAATTAGAAAAAAATGTGTGTTAGATTGTCATTTGGTTTTCTATTATTTAACACTAAGAGCTTTTGCACAAAGCTCACAAAACAAATGTGGGGAATCTCTAGGAAGAAGAACTACAGTTTAAATGTAAGTACTGAATCAGGATAAAATTGAAAAGCTGATTTTCTGCTCACATTAGGGTTTATTTTGAAAAGTGTGGATATTCGTTCAGAAGCCTCAGGAGCCCTGGCAGAGGAAAGTGGAAGCTCCTCTGAGATATTTGTTTTAAAGACTGTTCCATAGGGGCTTGTGAAATAGGCCTGTCTGTCAAATCTAGGACTCTGCGTCTATATATCTAGCTATCTCTCCTTCTCTTTCTTTCTCTCTTGCGCCCAATCGCTAGTCACTCCTGGTTTCTGTCTGCCGGTGGTGGTTGTGCTGATACCACGCTACCATGGTGATGGGTGGCAGCTAGAATCATAGTTCCTGGGCTCTACCTGTCATTTGCACAACTATTTCTGGCCCCTAATCCAGGCAGCTGAATGTATTCTGGCAGAAGCATCAACAATGACTAGAATGTCTCTGGAAAAATGCAGCGTCTGCCCGCACTCAGTCTTAGAGGAAAATTCCTTCTATGTGATCAAAGCCTATTTCTGTAAGCTTATTTCTTATGGTCTTCCTTGTGTATGTCATGGAGAGAGCTGAGGAAAGACTCACCAACTCAAATCAATAGTTTTTCTTATAAATGTACAAAGCTCATTGCCCCTCTTACTCCTCCAGGTTTATCCCTAAAAAGTAACCGATGGCCTCTTAATCTTATAGAAGCTCAACAAATTCTAGCAATTAAGTGTATAATATAAAATGAACAAAGTTGCCAATTCTAGATTCAAACAAAATTGCTATGCCCAATTAATTTCCTAACCACAAAGAGAAATTTACATCTTAAAACACTGCTGCCAGCCAGGCATGATGGTTCACTCCTGTAAATCCTAGTACTCTGGGAGGACAAAGTGGGAGGATCACTTGAAGTCAGGAGTTCAAGACTAGCCTGAGCAAGAGCGAGATTTGCCCGTACCATGCTACTATGAGGAAGACAAAAGAAATGATTGAAGAACTCCCTGGAGCAGACACAGGAGTTTAGACTCCAGCAGGTCCTCCTGGTATCCAGGACTTGCCTGCAGCTCATGGACCAGGGCTCCCACACAAAGGCTTCAGGCTGCCAATAAGGATCACAGCAGCTACAGAATATACTCATTTTTGTGTGAGTAGAGTAAGGCAAAGGAATCATAGGTTTACATTTATGTTTCTTTTCCAGCCTTGCCCCAAGACAGCTAGGGACTACCACTGGTAGTTTTGTCTTTGGTTAGGAAGGCAGCCCCAATGACCATCACTCACCTTCATCTCTTTGTCTAAACGTGGAGATCTCTGTTTGTTGCTAGGAAGATGCCGGATGCTGCAGGCAGTAGAAGTGGGGGTGTGGGCTAAATTATCTGAAGCCCACAATAAGAACAAATGACAAGTTAAAGTGATGAAAGAAGCAGCCAGATTCAAAGGTGTAGGCCCGCAAGGGTACTTTGGATTGTTAATGACACATTTTCATCAGGTGAAAAAAGGGATGAATTTCACAAAATGTTATTAGCTTTTTCTTCTGGCATCCTAGAAATAAAATAGCCTATTTACCTTCAACTGAGAAGCTACAGAGCTGAAGTGAAGCCTGTTTTCTCAAGAATAGGTGTGATTCTTTACACCTAGGGGGAGCCCCTACAGAGCTATCCCTCCCCCTCTCCCAGGGAAAAGGGAGCTTCAGTGAATTCAGTTTCCCAAGTACAATGTAGTTTGAAGGAAGAAAAAGGTTACTCTTTTAAACAAAATTTAATTTAAAAGCAGCATCACATTTGTGAAGCATTGAATTCACTGTGTCTGGGAACAAGTGGTCAGGGTTGGAAGCAGACAGCTTCCAAGGGCCTCCTGTGGCCGCAGGACCTACTGGGCTTGCAGAGATCCTCCAAATAACTCTCTATTTAATCTTCAGCAAAGAAATGTTACAGAAGACAATTCTCAGGACACAAAGTCAAGTCTTAGCAAAAATGATCTAAATCTGGAAGTGCTGGTGAAACTGGTAAGCCAATTATCACATCACATCACATGAACTTGCCATTTGTTCTGCTCCTGACCGTGAAGCTTCAGCCTTTATGCCAGTTAGTTCTTCATTTTCTTTCCCTTTCCTTCTTCTTCTTTTTTTTAGAGACAGAGTCTTACTTTATCACCCTCGGTAGAGTGCTGTGGCATCACAGCTCACAGCAACCTCCAACTCCAATATTCAAACATACATACATACACAGAAAAAATACAGGTTTGGACTGTTGGCCAACTTCCAAAAGGGATGCAGATGTAATTTTTAACTCATATGTCTGTATTACATACAGATTATGCATTTGGAAAATAAAACCTGAGTCACCAAGAACAGTGTGTTTATAGTATTTCAGAGTAAGTTTTCTCATTTTTTTTCTTAAATTACTTTTTATGTTTTAATTTTAGTTTGACAGATTACCCTAACTGTAAGAGCTACATACAAGAATGTTATAAAATTGTCTGTAGTTATACAATCATAAATAAAAATGTCAAAATTGTCCAACTGAACAAGATATGCAAGGATGTAGATACGCACATCCATAGGAAAACATTGTTAAATTTGTAACACGATACTCAGTGTGTGCCGGTAACAAAGGTGAGTGCGAGTCACATCGAGCAGCTCTTATGACTGCCCAAGTCAATCGAAACTTGAGTATTACAAATTTAATACAGTCTTTTCCTTTCTTAAAATGTGAAGATGTGTTTTTGGCACTTTCTGTATACATGTGAAAGCAAAAAACCCATTAGGATATAAAGATAAAGACTGAATAAAGAAGCCACCGAGGGAGAAAGGAGCCTTTTCACTAAACCAGTATTGTTCCCCACCCCCACCATCATTTGACGATTGGCCATTAATTGAAAAAAACCTCATTCACATACACCACTTCCTTTATGTACAATAAGGGAATGGGGGAGGGAAAAATGAAAGAATAGAGAGAACTGTACTATTCTATTTGATGGAACCCAGTTGTGGTTTTCTAACTGAGAATGTATTCTTGGTCTGTAAGGACAGTCTTCTAGAGTAAATGCCAGGTTCCCTTTGCAGTGGACACCCCTTACACCCCTTGTATGCTGCTGGAACATGTCAACTGTATCATCCAGCTCCATCTCCAGCAGTTCTGGTGCGCTTGTTTCATTGATCAGGTGCCTATCAAATTGGAATCTGATCTGCCTCATCAACAAGCCCTGTCATTCTCAATAGACTTTCATTAGTTTATTCTTTTTTCTTTTTTTTGAGACAGACTCTCACTATATCACCCTGGGTAGAGTGCCATGGAGTCACAGCTCATAGTAACCTCAAACTCTTGGACTTGTGATTCTCTTGCCTCATCCTCCCAAGTAGCTGAGACTACAGGCACCTGCCACAATGCCAATTTTTTTGGTAGTTGTCATTGTTGTTTGGCAGGCCTGGGCTGGGTTCAAACCTGCCAGCTCTGGTGTATGTGGCTGGTGCCCTAGCCGCTAAGCTACAGGCGCTGAGCCTCATTAGTTTACTCTTAATCTTAAACTGCACCGCCCTCCAATTAACACCATCCATCTTGATTCCTTTCTTGGGCCTTTCGTAGGTAATGGTAGATGCTGGACTCTCCTTAGCTGCCACTTCACCAAAGAGGTACCCACCTACAGAGCACGCAGACATAGGCAGCAACAGGAATAGCAGAAGCAGGGTTGTCTTATTTGGGGCAGGGTAGGGTATGCTCAGGGCTGGAGAGAAAAAGGAAATTGTGTTCTAAGAGTATTAAGAGTTCTAAGCTCAAATACCAGGGCATTACATTTTAAAAAATCAAATGCTGTAATTGTTTTTCTATTATAAAAATGCTGATCTTATAACTTTTGAAATATACATATGAAAGGGGAAAAATGCCTAGTTCCAGCAAAATAAAAGAAAACTTGGAAATATAGAAAACATAGGACATCTGGCAACCTAGCTAGCCAGAGAGGTGGGCCCACACCTCCCAAGTTGGATACTTTTTCCTAAGTATGCTAAAAGAAGAGCATATGTTTGAGTTTTTCATCTTATGCCAGTAGGAAGCAAATTAGTTGAGAGGGTGTCTTAGTCTGTTTGTGTTGCTATAATAGAATACCTGGTACTGGGTAGTTTATAAAGAACAGAAATGCATTTCTCACTGTCTGGGGGCTGAGAGGCTCAAGATCAAGTTGCAGTACCCTTGAGATTTTCTTTTCTTTCTTTCTTTCTTTTTTTTTTTTTTTGAGAAAAATTCTCACTGTGTCACCCTCAGTAAAGTGCTATGACGTCACAGCTCACAGCAACCTTCAACTCTTGGGCTTAAGCTATTTTCTTGCCTCAGCCTCCCAAATAGCTGAGACTACAGGTGCCTGCCACAATGCTCAGCTATTTTGTTGTTGACAGGCCCAGGCTGGATTCAAACCTGCCAGCTCTGGTGTATGTGGCTGGCGCCCTAGCTCACTGAGCTACAGGCACCGAGCTCGGAGTTTTCTTGCTGCGTCCTCCCATGGAGAAAGAAGGAAGGGCCAGAGAGGACTAACTGCCTCACCCAGCCCTTTATGAGGGAGGAGCCCTCATGGCCAGTCATCTTTTAAAGGCCCCACCTCTTAATGCTATCACTTTGGTGACACCTGAATTTTGGAAGGGACACATTCAAACTATAGTAGAGGGCTGGCTCATTTCACTTCTTCTCTGCAGGAGAAGAAATAAAATCAATAAAATACTACTAGGAAAAAGAAATAGGAAAATAGAAGTGGAGGATCCCATGCTTCACCACTAGACTGTGACCTCCATACGGCAGGACTGTCGTATTTCATCAGTACATAGCGAGCACCCAGCATAAAGACACCTACCATGTTCGTTTGGATGGACAGATGGATAAAAGTAAAGTTTCCATGTGCCCTGCTCCAGACCCAAGATTAAAAGTCCCCTCCCCACAAAGGCATAAGTCTCTGATGTGAGGGGCTATTTGGTGTTGCTTGGGATCAGCCGTGGCCAGCAGGTCCTTCACAGCCCCCTCTCAAGGTTCCCTGCAACCCTGCACATCTCCAACCGTGGACTTCCTCTTCTCTAACTGCATAGACTGCCAGGCTCCTTGAGCCTGTAAGCCTGGAAAGAGTCTTTATGCTTTTCTGTATGAGTTCTTACTGCTTTTTATAGGAGAGGAAACTCCAGATGGACTCAGCAGAAAAGCGAACTAGCGTCGTCAGGGAGCTCTTACAGAGTGAAAGGAAATACGTGCAGATGCTGGGAATTGTGCGAGATGTTTATGTGATGCCACTGAAAGCAGCACTGTCATCAAACAGAGCAATTCTGAGTGCTGTAAATATCCAGATCATTTTCTCTGATGTTCTGCAGATTTTAAGTCTCAACAGGTAAACCCTGAACATATATTATTAAAAAGATTCATTGTTGCAGTGGGAGGAGCCCACACTTTGTTGTTTTTAAAGCTGTATGGAGGCTCAGTCCTTCTCTGACACTTGTGGGGGCCCTGGCTGGGAGTGGGGACTCCCAGGGCCACACCTTCCCCAGTTCACAACCCTGGGGCCAGGGTGGAGTCAGTGCCTGCTCTTGCAGGAGACAATGGGAAGGAGAGCTGCGGGGGGTGGCGGGGGGCTGTTTATTATCAGTAGTGGTAGTTGAACAGTAGGAAAGGAATTGAAGGATTTGATGGGAGTGAGCCTGGGGATCCTTTGCTTAGCGAGCACAAGGCTGTAGGTAACAGCATATTTTCAAGTATATAATATGGGAGAGAAAAATGATCATTTCTAGCTGAGGTTAAGGAAAACAAACCAATCATGTGCTGCTCTCACAGTAACTCTAGGTAACTTGGCCTCAGTAACTAGGTTCCTGACCCTGAGGGGCCACAGCTTCTATGAAGTGAAGAGGTTGAACCAGGCTGCTCAGTTCTCAAGGCCTGTGATAGCCGTCTGAGGGGTTTCCTTTGATCCAGGGTTCTGGCATTTGGGTGTAGACATGAGTGGATCACTGTCCTCTGAGCACTGTGAACCATCAAGGTTGCCTGTCTGGTGACACGGGAATGGGATGGCTGGGGCAGCACTATGGAGGCCAGAGTGGGGTTCTGACTCAAGGAACTGAGGAGGAGAGATGGGGTTCCCTACAGCTGACCTGTGCCCCTGTACAGCAGGTCTGGGCTACTTTGTGTTAAGAACAGCCTGAGCAAGAGCGAGACCTTGTCTCTACTAAAAATAAAAAAAGTAGCTAGGCGTTATGGCTGGTGACAGTAGTCCTAGCTACTCAGGAGGCTCAGGTAAGGGGATCTCTTCACCCCAAGAGTTTGAAGTTGCTGTGAGCTATGACACCATGGCACTCTACCCAGGGTAACAGAGTGAGACTCTGTCTCAAAGAAATAAAACAAACAAAAAAACAAGAATGGAATACTTGAGCAAAGCCCTGCTATAAAGCACTAGGCCAAAAAGGCTGCACTCCTGACAATGAATCACTTGTTTGAGTTTGTAGGTTCCCCTGAGCTGATATTTCTTGGTCCTGCTTTTCTTATATTGCAGGTGGTTTCTAGATAACCTGAGAGACAGACTGCAGGAGTGGGGCCCTGCTCACTGCGTGGGAGACATAGTGCTAAAGTTCGGAAGCCAGTTGAACACATACACCAATTTCTTCAACAATTACCCGGTTGTTCTGAAAACTATACAGAAGGTAAATGGTTGAGTTGCAATCTGTCATTTTGTTAGACCTTCTGAGCCTGAAAGGAAGCTGTGAGTGCAGCCCGAAGGACAGGCATTAATAGGCAAGCCGCTCTCTGCTCTCGGCTTCCAGCTCTCCTCCTGTGCACTGGGAACTCTTTGAGGACAGGGACTCCCATTCGGGGTCCAACACTGTGCTTGTCACATGGCAGTGCCTGGGAACGAGTTGTTGAACTAAACACATCTTCATGAAAACTGCCAGACTTTCACCTGCCCCAGACACCCTGTGGTCCAGTTCCAGGAAAAGCTGCAATTGGGTAGAAGCAAGACTGCGTCTCGATCCCAGTCTGCCACTGTGATCCTGTGTGGCCTTGACAAGTTCCGCTCTCTTATCTAGAAAGTGAACTGATAATCCATAGACGAGGGCTCTCCAGAAAGTATCCAGCCTTTGGCAATCTTATTTTCTAAATTATGCGGCTGGATAATTTTCAGATAGCCCTCATATTTCTTGAAATGAGAACATTTGATATATGAAATCTCATGAAGAAATAAGGAACTTTTGGGCCTTGCATTCGGCTTTACATTTCCTGGACAGCTCACTGTAAACAGTGCTCCCTGTTGTGATGTATGCCATTATTTAATCCGAGCAGGAATATCCAATTTTCTTCTCAGCCACTTGCTGCTTTTGTTGGGATCTGTTCTGATGGGAATCAGGTCCCTCTCTCGTACCTCCTCAGTTTGTAGCAAAAGTGTGGTGGCAGAGGCTACTTTGTCCCATGGCAGCCACAGGGCGTTGTGATCTACCAGTGTCCACCGTGCCTGTGTCTTCACTGAGGTCCTGCAGGGAAGGCCTGTGAACTGGGAGGCCTCTGGGTGGTTCCCGCCCTGGACAGCTTCCTCTGTGGTGTTCTTTCCACCCCACCCAGGGAGGTTAGTCTCTGCTGGACAACTTGATGAGGCAACTGACTTGAGCATGAGACTTGCAGCAAAGCAACATATGGTATGAGAAATAAATTGGTGCCAAAAATTTTATAGCAATGGATAATAATACTTATTTCACTAGCATAGTGTGTGTATATAAGCACTTGATTAATGGTAGTATTAATATTATTGAAATCAGCAAATATTTGATTTAGAAATTAGCATTACTGACCTCTTTTAGGCATGTTAAAGGATGTAACTTCACAGGTGCTGTACTGTGATGAATATGAAGTACAGTGGAACAGCCATGTAATATTACTATGGAAAACATGATTTACAGCAGTATTAAAGGTGAATACCCTTCATAGTCAAGATCTTGCTATTATGAAATAACATTTACTACATGATGGGCACTTTATCAATAGAATCACTTTTTCCCCATACTCCAGAATTTTTTGAGACAGAGTCTCACTCAGTTGCCCTGGGTAGAGTGCCATGATATCAGCCTAGTTCACAGCAACCTCAAATTCCTGAGCTCAAGTGATCTTCCTTCCTCAGCCTCCCAAATAGGTGGGACTGCAGGAGCTAGCCCCAACAGCTAACTAGTTTTTCTATTTTCAGTAGAGATGGGGACTCTCTTGCTCAAGCTGGTCTTGAACTCCTAAGTTCAAGCAATCTTCCCGCCTTACCAGCCGCACACCCCAGAATTTTACAGATGAGAAAACTAAGGCTTAGAGAAATTAAGTAACTTTGCTAGGTCAGGTATTCAACTTACTCTAATATAAATCCAAGCCCAGAAGGTTGCAAATTAAGGTCCATGAAGAGAGTCGGTCTGTAGAGTAATGAATACAGCACAGTGAACGTATCAGGAAGACAGCATGGCACTGGTAAGACTCTGGTCACATGCAGACGATGTCCTTCTGCTTCGAGTGTCCCCTCATGCTTGCTTGGTGGAACGGAAGGCTGTGCCATGGGCACACAGAGCAAAGTTTTGACAATATAATTCTCACCTTTTAGTGCAGAGAAATGACACCAGCGTTCCGAGCTTTCCTGAAGAGGCATGATAAGACTATTGTTACCCAAATGCTGAGGTATGCTCTGAGGGAGAGCATAGCTGGAGCCCCCCAACGACAGAGCAGGTAGAGACCAGAGTTGCCTTCCCTCTGCCCGTACAGCCTGCCGGAGCTGCTTTTGTACCCATCCCGAAGATTTGAAGAATATATTAGTCTTCTCTATGCCCTGAGGCTCCACACTCCTGCAGAACATGTGGACCGTGGGGACCTGACCACCGCAGTTAACCAAATCAAAAACTACAAAGGTTATATAGATCAGGTGGGTTCCTGATAAGAATGTGCGTCCTTTAAAAATGTTACAATGCTTTTGCTGTACTCTCACTCAAAGACCCTGAGACATTTTATCTTTTTGTAGTGTTCTTTCCTTCAAATCGTTCATTATTTTAGAGCTAAATCGGTAGTTGTGTTCAGTGATTCTGAACCCTGAAGCCATCTACTTTAAGCCAAACACTCCAAGACAATGTTTTCAGATATGTACAAATACAGTAAGACTTTTATGAAAGTTTAAAGAGTGGGGTATTTGGATTGATTTATCTGGATAACTATTAATAAAGGGAAAAATATCCAAACTGTAAACTCCTAATTTCTGAAAGTATTTTCTAACATATTAATTAGTAAGTATAATGATCATGATTACTCTCTGGAGAAGTAGTTTTAGACATATTGGAGTACAGGCCTACCATTCTGAAAACACCGTCATATAGTGCATACTGTACAGAAGTCTGGGCTGAATGTAAACCGCTAACACGATATCCCTAGAGATGATATTTGAGATGGTACTGGCTCAGCACCCGTAGTCCAGTGGTTACAGTGTTGGCCACATACACTGGGACTGATGGGTTTGAACCCCACCTGGACATGCTAAACAATGACAACAACAACGACAGAATTAGCTGGGTGTTCTGGCAGGTACCTGTAGTGCCAGCTACTCAGGAGGCTGAGGCAAGAGAAGTGCTTAAGTCCAAGAGTTTGAGATTGCTATGAGGTTGGTGGAAAAAAAAAAAAAAAAGAAAACATTAGGTACAGAAAACTGAATTTTTTTACTATAACATGAAATTCTAAGCTCTGTGTCAAGTGCCATAGAATATTTTGCATCTATTTCTTTTTCTTTTTTTTTTTTTTGGAGACAGTCTATGTCACCCTTGGTAGAATGCTGTGGCGTCACAGCTCACAGCAACCTCAAACTCCTGGGCTTAAGCGATTCTCTTGCCTCAGCTTCCCAAGTAGCTGGTGTATCTATTTCTTTTATAAATAAAAATGTCACAGTTTTAGTTTTCCGAAAATCACTTTTCTCCTAGATGAAGCAAAACATCAGTATGAAGGATCAGCTGCTGGATGTGCAGAGAATCATCAGGGGGTGCCCCGTACGTATTCTGACACTTGCTATATTTCATGCTTATGAACGTATCCTCCAGCCATTGGCAAAAGGACATACAGATCCGATGCAGCTAACATTTCTGGCGTCCCCACTGGGTGTCAAATACTGTCAAGGTCTCCAATCCCGAACCCTTGTTACCTCTAAGGGTGCTCTGTAAGAAGAAGCACAAGGAGGGCTTGTACTTACCCCCCAATTTTTTTGCTGTCTTTGCTCCTTTATTGGTATTCCTGTAGTTATGACTCGCTTTGAGACCAGGGCTATGTGTCCTCTTTGTTTTCTGTCTCCCTGCGTGTAGCAGTACCTGATTCTGCACACTAAAGATATCTGAAAAAGTTTCACAAGTTCTCTGTTAGCTGTTACCTATGCAGTGTCGCCTCGCCCACCCGCCTTCTCTCCTACAGCTTTCCCTATCATCATAGGCTCATCTCTAAGAATGGCAGCCCCTCTTGATGCAGCTGTGTTTTGCACAGATTCTTCCTTCCTTTCGTATTCCACTGGATAATCTCCTATTTGTCTTTTAAAACTCTAATTCAATTATCTTCTTTGCCAAGTTTTTCCTAGTATCTTCAGCTGTGAGTTGCTCCTTCCTAAAAACTTTGTATTCTGAACATGTTACATTTTATTGCAAGCCATTATTCACAAAATTAGGAGCTCCATCATGTGTGAGCCTCAATTTATGTGTCTTCTAGTGCCTGGCACACAGTAGGAACTCAATATAGGAATTGTGTTGAATTAAAAAACCAAGTAAAAATAAAATAAAAATTTTAGTAATTTAAAAAAATCGACAACATCCTCAAATACAGTTGCATTTATCAATACTGTAGTCTTTCTAAGGAAAGCTTATTTATAAACAATGAAAACATACATTTTTTCATACTTGAACTGAGTTTTAGTTAACATTTCCATATTCTGGAATATCAAATGGTTCTGTAGTAGTGAAAAAATTGCACTACTGGGGGGAGGAGCAAGATGGTGGCCGAGTAACAGCTTCTTTGCAACTGGGCACGGTGGGACTGGGGAGAGAAGACTCCAGGCATCTCTGGCTGGAGAAACATCCCTTTGGGGACACAAGAAGTCAGTGAGAGACTTCTGGACCCCACGAGGAGGACAGAAGCAGTGCACAACTGGCAAGTGTTTGTGTGTGTTTGTTCCATCTAATCCTGCTGGTAGCTATAAGTACAGCAGCAGTGAGATTACAAACTGGAAAGGCCTTACCTGTGAGCTGTTTTGTTTTTTTGGACTTGGCACTCAGTTGAACTACCTTGGGAGAACTTGGGCAAGAGTCCAGAGGATTTTAAGCATTGTCTAGGGCCCCAGACTGAGCTGCTGAGTTGGACAGAGCTAATAGTGTTCGGCTGTGGGCAGTGTGGAGACGTTGTGGGAGAACTGCCCCGGCAAGCTCTACCCTTAGGGTCACTGAGCAAGGACTGGGCAGGAGAACTTGGGCAAGTAATCTGGTGACTGAGCAGCCTAAAGGTGGGGACTGAGACACCTAACAGCCTTGTCCCTCAGGGGCATAGAGTGAGACAGGTTTTGGCACACTGGGTTAAGTGGACAGCCACTTCAGGAGTGATCCCAGCAACAAGTGCTTTTCTGGGAAAGCTTCTGCTTAGCCAAGGTTAGCAGTTTAAAGTGCCTTTTAAGCAGGCTGAGGAGAAAGTTAGGCTCTCCACCCTGCAAGGTTTGGGAAATCCGCAGAGGCCTCCAGTCTCCATCTCGTACAACCATACCAGCATTGTGATTAACATCTCATACCCCAGATCACCTGTTGCCCTGACCATATTCAGCAAGATATATATACTGCTTTGGTTTTTGTTTTTGCAGTTCTTGGCCAGGGCTGGGTTTGAACCCACCACCTCCAGCATATGGAGCCGGTGCCCTACTCCTTTGAGCCATAGGCGCCACCCTGTTTTTGTTTTTTTAATTTCAACATTTTCCCTCTACATTTTCTTTCTTTCTTTTCTTTCTTCATTTTTCTAGTTTAAATATAATTTTCCATTGTTGCCTTCTTTAACAATTAGAACTTCATTTTTGCTAGTGTTTCTACCCCTATTATTTGGTTTTTACCCTAATTTTATCCCGTAAAGTTTTCTGTTTGCTTGTTTTGGTTTAATTTATAGCATTTTTCTTCCCTCTCTACTTGGTAGAGGTGGGGTATTGTGTCCAAATAGGCTAGCAAAGAGCTGCTGACCTCAACAGAACCACCCAACCCGGCACCACCCAACCTGGAACCCAACCTGGAAGGTTTTTAAGGTTAAGGTTGGGTCACAGTACTCTACTGTACACCTGTATTGCTCTTGTCTCCCTCTTTCTGTGCCTGTCTTCTTTTTGTCAATATTCCATTTTACTCACCCCCTCTCCTTTCTCTTTTTTCTTTTCTTTTTTCCCTTCTTTCTCTTCAATCTTGTCATCCTTCTGGTCCTGTACAAAAAGGACTCATTGAAACCCTAGTCCAGAGGCACGGTAACTTAAAGAGCAATAGGAAGTGAAAGGAAAGTTAGGGCAAGGAAACAGATAAAAGAAAACACTTATGAGGAAGAATCAGCAGAAAAATACTGGTAACATGAAAAACCAGTCTAGAGCAACTCTTCCCCAAGGGACCATGAAGTAGCTACTGCAGAGGATTCCACCTCTAAAGAAATGTTAGAAATGATAGAAAGGGAATTTAGAATACAGATGATGAAAACAATGAAGGAATGATGGAAACAATGAAGGAAACTGCAGATAAAGTGGAAAATAACCAAAAGGAAATCTAAAACAGAATCAAATAAGAGATGAATGATATGAAGAATTTAGAAAGGATATAGCATAGTTAAAGGAACTGAAGCAGTCAATTAGGGAACTTAAAGATGCAATACGAAGTATCAATATTAGAGTAGACCATGCAGAAGAAAGAATCTCAGAGGTAGAGGACAAAGCTCTTGAGATAACTCGGATAGTTAAAGAAGCAGAAAAGAAGAGAGAGAAAGCAGAATATTCACTGACAGAATTATGGGACTTTATGAAGTATTCAAACATATGACTTCTAGGTATCCCAGAAGGGAAAGAAGAATGCCCCAAGGGAATGAAAGCCATACTAGAGAATATTATAATTGAAAATTTCCCAAATATCACCAAAGATTCTGACAAAGATTGGACCCCAGGTTGCCTCAACTCTAACCAAGCTTCTCCAAGACACATTGTGATGAACCTGTCCAAAGTCAAGATAAAAGAAAAGATTCTTCAAGCTGCCAGGAGTAAGTGCCAGTTGACCTACAGGGGCAAATCCATCAGGGTGACTGCAGACTTCTCTAATGAAACTTTTCAAGCAAGAAGACAATGTTCATATACTTTCAATCTACTTAAACAAAACAATTTCCAGCCCAGAATTCTATATCCTGCTAAGCTAAGCTTTAAAATTGACAGAGAAGGGTAGCACTTGTGGCTCAGTGGGTAGGGTGCTGTCCCCATATAGCAAGGGTGGTGGGTCAAGACAGCACAGTACTGGCACAAAAATAGAGACATAGACATTTGGAATCAAATAGAAAACCAGGAAATGAAGCTAACATCTTCCAACCACCTAATCTTCCATAAACCAAACAAGAACATACCTTGGGGGAAAGACTCCCTATTCAATAAATGGTGCTGGGAGAACTGGATAGCCACATGTAAAAGACTGAAACTGGACCCACACCTTTCTCCACTCACAAAAATTAATTCAAGTTGGAGAAAGGACTTAAATTTAAGGCATGAAATAATAAAAATCCTCAAAGAAAGCGTAGGAAAAACACTGGAAGATATTGGCCTGGGGAAAGACTTCATGAAGAAGACTGCTATGGCTATTGCAACAACAACAAAAATAAACAAATGGGACTTAATTAAACTGAAAAGCTTCCGTACAGCCAAGGAGATAAGAAGCAAAGCAAATAGACAACTTACACAATGGGAAAGGATGTTTGCATATTTTGTATCAAACAAAAGCTTGATAACTAGGATCTATAAAGAACTCAATCCACAAGAAAAAAACCCAACAATCCCTTATATCAATGGGCAAGAGACATGAATAGAACCTTCTCTAAAGAAGATAGACAAATGGCTAACATATGAAAAAATGCTCATCATCCCTAATTATTAGAGAAATGCAAATCAAAATCACCCTGAGATACCATCTAACCCTACCGAGAATGGCCCACATACAAAATCTCAAAACTGCAGATGCTGGCGTGGACATGGAGAGAAGAGAACACCTTTACACTGCTGGTGGGACTGCAAACTAATACAACCTTTTTGGAAGGAAGTATAAGAACCCTCAATGAGAACGCAAGCTAGATCTCCCATTTGATCCTGCAATACCATTACTGGGCATCTACCCAGAAAGAAAACATCATTTTATCATAAGGACACTTGCACTAGACTGTTTATTAAAACTTAATTTATAATCGTCAAAATGTGGAAACAGCCTAAATGCCCACCAACCCAGGAATGGATTAATAAGCTGTGGTATATGTATACCACGGAATACTATTCAGTCATTTAAAAAATGGAGACTTTACAGCCTTTGTATTAACCTGGAGGGAAGTGGAACATATGATTCTTAGTAAAGCATCACAAGAATGGAGAAGCATGAATCCTATGTACTCAATTTTAATATGAGGACAATTAATGACAATTAATGACACGGTGGGGGTGGTGGAAGGGGAGAGCAGAGAGAGAAAGAAAGAGGGAGGGGTGGAGGAAAGGAAGAGCAGAGAGATGGAAGGAACGAGGGGGTGGGGTCTTGGTGTGTGCTACACCTTTGGGGGGCAAGACACGATTGTAAGAGGGACTTTACCTAACAAATGCAATCAGTGTAACCTGGTTTCTTGTACCCTCAATGAATCCCCAACAATTAAAAAAAAAAAAGAAAGAAAGAAAAAGGCTTGGCGCCTGTGGCTCAAGTGGCTAAGGCGCCAGCCACATACACCTAAGGTGGCGGGTTTGAATCCAGCCTAGGCCCGCCAAACAACGATGGTTGCAACCAAAGAATAGCCAGGCGTTGTGGTGGGTGCCTGTGGTTCCAGCTACTTGGGAGGCAGAGGCAGGAGACTCGCTTGAGCCCAGGAGTTGGAGGTTGCTGTGAGCTGTGATGAGAGAGCCATGGCACTCTACCCAGGGGAATAGCTTGAAGCTCTGTCTTAAAAAAAAAAAAAATAAATAAATAAAAAGGAAGAATTTCACTGCTACAGAACCATTTGATATTCCAGAATATGGAAGTGCTAACCATTTGATATTCCAATTTTATTTTTAAAATTTTACATATTCTTTTAATTTTGTTTTTCATTTTACAGGTTCTGTCAGAAGCTAAAAGATATCTGATAAGGATCCAAGAAGTAGCCCAACTTCACTGCTGTGATGAGGAAATAAGTTTCTCTTTAAGGTAAACAACAATTAACTGCTCAAAAGGCTGTGCAGTCCTTACCAAAAGGTGACTCTCTTACTGAGCTGTATTCCTGGCATTCAGCGCCATGTCTAACATCCTCTGTTTCTGATAAATCTTTGCATGGAAGTGAAAAGTTCACACAGACTCCTCTGAGATAGTTTAAGGTACTTTATCATCGTGCTCCAGGCAGCTACTGGGTAAGAATGAAAGAAAATAAATTGTCCCTGTTGGGACTACAAACTCCAGAAACAGGAATTCTGAAGGTTGGTCACATTTAGGTAAGATCCAAGTGATAATTTCATACCAAGGATCTGCTCAACTGTAAGAAACAGAGGACCAATTTATTATTTTACTCATATAGTTCTTTTTTTTTTTTGAGACAGAGTCTCACTAGGTCGCCCTGGGTAGAGTGCTGTAGTGTCACAGCTCACAGCAATCTCCAAATCCTCCATTCTCTTGCCTCAGCCTCCCAAGTCGCTGGGACTACAGGTGCCCACCACAACGCACAGCTAGTTTTTGGTTGTAGTTGTCATTGTTGTTTGGCAGGCCTGGGCTGGATTCAAACCTGTTAGCTCTGGTGTATGTGGCCAGCATCCTAGCTGCTCAGCTATAGGCGCTGAGCCTATACTCAGATAGTTTGTATGTTCGGTATTAAAAATGACCTCATGATATCTAGTTTGCACAATGTTTAGAGTGGTGTAAGAAGAAAAGATGCCAATTTCCATAAATTAGCATATTTTTCTCCTTTAGAACAAGGATGGGCAAACTTTTCTCTAAAGATTCTGAGATAGTAAATATTTTAGCTTTTGCCAGCCACATGATCTCTGTAACAACTACTTAACTCTTGGAGCACAAAAGCAGTTATGTAAACAAACAATACATAACAAATAGTACACTACTCATAAACAGTACAATACATAAATGAACAAGCATGGCAGCATTCCAATAAAACTTTATTTATAAAAATGGGTGGTTGGCCATAGTTGGCCGATCTTTGCTTTAAAAAATACTTGTCAAGCTATGTTTTCAGTATTAATGGCAAAGATGATGATGACTCAACAAATATCAGCCAAAAGGAGGGGGAATGAACTCCTTTAATTTGTCCAACTCTAATAAAGGTAATAAAAGTTGACTTGATATTTCAAGGAATATTTCAGCAAATGTTTCCCAAAGGCACAGGGAAGTAGCGCAGGTAGAAGAAATCAGTCCCCTCACCTCCATCCTCACAGGGACGGGATCATAGATGAAAACCAAATCACACAACTGTGTTACTTTTCCCAAGGTCAAGGCATTTTCGTTTTCTTCGGGTTTGTTTGTTTTGGTTAATAACAAAGAGGTGAAATGGTTGAAGGAAACTAGCTACTAAGCCAGCAATTTCAGACACACTGGTATGGTAGGAAACCTGCCAGGGGTCGTCCCAGATTTTGGACATTCCTTCACTTTAATTTCATGTGTTCCTTTTTGAGCGCCTTCCTTTTTTTTTTTTATGCCAGTTTGAGTTTCTGTATCTTTTTTTTTCTCTCTGCAGAACTTCTTTTAACATTTCTCAATGTTCTCCTGAGGTGTACTGGCAATACATTTTCTAATTTTTTGTCTGATAAATTCCTTATTGCTCTTTCATGTTTGAAAGGAAATTTGGCTGGTGTGTTTTTTTCTTTCCCCACTTTATTTCATTCCACTCTCTTCTTGCTTGCATGGTTTATAAGAGAAGCCCGATGTAATTCTAATCCTAGTTCCTTTATAGGTAAGTGAGGGTTTCTTTGTCTTCTGGATTCTTCTAAGATTTTCTCTGACTTTGATTTTCTGTAGTTTTAATGCACTATGCCTCAGTGTAGATTTTTTGGTATATGTATTGCTTAGTGGTCTCTGAGCTTCCTGAAGCTGTGGTCTGCTGTCATTTTTTTTTTTTTTAGCTTTCATAAAGAATTTTGTTGTTGCTATTGTCAAGACAGAGTCTTACTCTGTTGCCCTGAGTAGAGTGCAGTGGTGTCATCATAGCTTACTGCAGCCTCAAACTCCTGGGCTTAAGTAATCCTCCTGCCTCAGCCACCCAAGTAGCTTTTAATTGTGTTTTTTCATAAATGCAAATAAGGCAATTGTTTAGAGTAAGAGATCTCTAATATATATTTTTTAAATTGAGGAGGGTTTAATTTAAAGGATCCATTTTTAGCATTTACATTTTTTTTTTTTAGAGACAGAGTCTCACTTTATCGCCCTTGGTACAGTGCTGTGGCGTCACACAGGTCACAGCAACCTCCAACTCCTGGGCTTAGGCGATTCTCTTGCCTCAGCCTCCCAAGTAGCTGGGACTACAGGTGCCCACCACAATACTCAGTTATTTTTTTGTTGCAGTTTGGCCAGGGCCAGATTTGAACCTGCCACCTGCGGTATATGGGGCTGGCACTCTACTCAGTGAGCCACAGGTGCCGCCCTAGCCTTTACATTTTTAAATGTGTACTTATTTTAAAGTGACTCCAGACATCACTTTAAAGATTCCCTCATTCTTCTAGAAATCAGCTAAGGTAGCAACAAAAGTTGAGACAACAAAAGACTCTTACGAATGGGACCTTTTATGAACAATACAGAAAGAATAACAAGAGAAAACACTATTTCTGGGAGGGAAAGGAGTCACATAAATACGCATCTAAGCAAAAGGCCTTCTAAAGTAAATAAAACCAAAATTTCCCTATTCTCTGTCCAGTTGGGGATAATAAACCAAGACTCTTCCTATAACATAGGGAAAGCCAGTCAAGACCCATGAAGAAGCCTCAGTGCCTCCAGAGGGGCCAAGGATTGGGAGAAGGAAGTGGGGCACTGTGTGTGCTTTGAATACTCAGGACATCTTCAAGTTCCAGAAACTGCTTCTCCATTATAAATAGATCCAGCTACCTTGGGTCCACAACATCCCACCAGCAGGGATGGCATCAGAGATGGCTTTAAGTCAAAGAAAACTGAGCAGCACTAGGGCATGTTTCCAAGTCTCCCCCACTGGCTAAAGGCTGCAGAATTATGGGCAAGTGCCCACTGGGGCTATCCCAGGCAGGACCCCATCTTTCACAGCCTTACCAGATTCACTGCCTACTGCTCAAGAGGAAGACAATACCCTGAGATAGCCAGGGTTACAGCAGAGAAAGAGTTTAATATTGCAGGTGCCATGCAAGGAGATGGGAAGAAGTCCTCAAATCCATCTCTGTAATTTTGAAAAAATTTCGGCCACTATTAATTCAAATATTTCTGCTGTTCCTATCTTTGTCTCCTTCTTCTGGTATTCCCATTACATGTATATTTGCTTTTTCTAACTGTCACCATTGCTTGAATAGTCTGGTTACCCTCACCCCTCCACCTGGTCCTTTTTCTCTCTGCTCTTCTGTTTGGGGAGTTGTTTTTTTTTTCTTTGAGATAGAGCCTCAAGCTGTCCCCCTGGGTAGAGTACCGTGGCATCACAGCTCACAGCAACCTCCAACTCCTGGGCTCAAGCGAGTCTCCTGCCTCTGCCTCCCAAGTAGCTGGGACCATAGGCACCCGCCACAACGCCTGGCTATTTTTTTTGGTTGCAGCCATTGTTGTTTGGCGGGCCGAGCTGGATTCAAACCCACCACCTTAGGTGTATGTGGCTGGCGCCTTAGCCACTTGAGCCACAGGCGCTGAGCCCCATTTGGGGAGTTTTATCGCTATACCTTCAAGCTTGCTCATTCTTCCTTTCGCTGTGTGGAGTCTGTTGATGGGCAAGGCATCCTTCATTTCTATTAGGGTATTTTCCATTTCTAGTATTTCCTTTTACTTCTTAGGGTTTCTCTCTGCTTATATTACCCATCTGTTCTTGCAAGTTGTCCGCTTTTTCCATTACAGCCCATGATACACTAATCATGGTTATTTTAAATTCCTAATCCGATGATTCCAAACTCTCTTCCATATCCTTGCTCTGTCTTTTCAGTCTGGATTTTTTGACTCTTACTATACTGTAACTTTTTGTTGAAAGCCAGACATAATGTATTAGATACTACATAAAAGTTATAAAGCTAAAAGGCCTTAACCATTAGGTTTTATATTCATCTGACTAGGAGTCAGTGTTTATGTTAGCAACCACATTTGTTCTGCCTGCACACAGCAAGCCAATTACTGTGGCAATGGGCTTTACAGGTGAGAAAAGATTTTATTCACAAGGCCACTCTGTGAGAAGACAGGAGAACAAATCTCAAATACAGCTCCTCAAAATAGGGCTTGGGGGGTCTTATGAGGTGAAAATTGAGGTCATCTAAAGTGTGGGAGGAAAGTGAATGGCTGGCTCGATGCCTGTAGCTCAGCAGCTAGGGTGCCAGGCACATATACCGGAGCTGGCGTGTTCAAATCCAGCCCCTGCATGCCAAATGACAACTACAACCAAAAAATAGCCGAGTGTTGTGGCGGGCACCTATAGTCTCAGCTACTTAGGAGACTGAGGCAAGAGAATCGCTTAAGCCCAAGAGTTTGAGGTTGCTGTGAGCTGTGACTCTACAGCACTCTACTCAGAGTGACTATCTCAAAAAAAAAATGTGAATGGCTGATAAAGGTGAGGTAATCAGGGTTTCTACTCAAGTATAATCGAGCTACATGTCTCTACACAGGATGCAAATGCAGAAAAGGGCAGCATGAGCATGATCTGGAGGTAGAGTTTTTTTGGCTTTAATGTCAAGAGGCCACTCTTCTGGCACCCGTGCAGACCCAGTTGAAGGATCAGTGGTCTCAACAGGACTGAACTAGACAAGAGCTACTCCCTAGTTCCTGAAAATCAACCTTAAGCACCTGTTACTATAGTGACTCACAGTTAAGAGATGTTATCCACGAGGAAGCTGGTTATGTGTGGTCTGACTTGCCAGTGGGCGTTTTACGATCAACTAGAAGGCAGGTTAAGTTTGGAGGTCTGGATCACATTAGCTCTTATGTTTTATTCACTGCTTGCTGTAGCTTGGTGTCAGAAGCTAGTTTTCTCTCATGTCCTTGCTTTTGTCTTCCTTATG